GTGGGGCGGCGGAGAGTGGGCGGAGCTGTGCAGAGCTGGGAGGGGCCATGTGGGGCCGGGTGCATGGAGGGGCTGTGTGGGGAGGAGGTGGTTGGAGCTGGGTGGGTGGTATGGGCTGTGGGGTGGGGAGGCTGTGGGGGGAGGGGTCGTATGGGACTGGGAGGGTGATAATTGCTGTAATTAACCAGCGGGCAAGGGTAGCTGGCCTGGGTGGCAGTGCCCCCTAAGGGTCGGGGCAATTGTCCTGTGGAACGGCGGGCGTGGAGGTTGGCGAGGCTGCGGCGATGGGAATTGGCAAGCGGTTCCAGGGCGTAGGGTGGGGGAGGAGGAGGCCCCAGGGGTGACAGACTGCACTGGGGTGGGGGGGAGCCATCTGGCCCAACCCAGACCTCTCCCCTCTCGCCACTGCAGGGACCTTCCTGCTGCTGCTGGCGTTCTTCGCCTTCCTGCACTGCTGGCTCAACGCCTTCGCCGAGATGCTGCGCTTTGCCGACCGGACCTTCTACAAGGTGAGCGGGGGGGGGGGCGACTCTGGGGCCAACCCTGCCCCCACCCACCCTGACTTGGGTTGGGACCCATGGAAAGCCCGAAGGCCTCACCTCCCCACACCCCTGAAATCTCAGCCAGGGTGCCCCATGCCAGGGCTCTGCCTGCCCTCTGCTGGGAGCTCCCGAGCTGGCTTGCAGTGCCCAGGCCCAGCTGGGCTGCCCTGTGCCACGGAGCTGGGAGGGGAAGGGGTGGCAGCTCTGTCTGGGGGCTACAAGCTGGGCAGAGGGCACCACCTTTGGAGCAGAGCTGCAGGGGCAAGGGGGGGGACACCAGAGCGCCAGGTGGGCAGCACGGGTGCTGCAGATGGGCGTGCACGCGTGGGTGGGCGCTGCGGCACACTTGGCCCGGGCTCACTCCCGTCTCTCCCTCGTCCCTCTCCCTGCGTGCGCGCCCAGGACTGGTGGAACTCCACATCCTTTGCCACCTACTACCGGACGTGGAACGTGGTGGTTCACGACTGGCTCTACTACTACCTCTACCAGGACCTGTTCTGGGTACGTGGCCCTGGCGCTGGTCGGATGTTGCGGCCGTCACTGCGGAACCTGGCAGGGGTGGGGGGGGGTGCGTTTGGAGCCTTGTTCGCCAGCCCAGGTGGTGAGGATGGTGCCCTTGGACTCAATGAAACGGGAACTGCTGATGATGCAAGGTGGCTTTGGGCTCTGAAAGGATCCTCGCTGCTCTCCGTCCAACTCAGGGTGCCAGGCGAGCAGCCAGAGATGGTCCTGGGCTGGGGCAGTAGACACCGGGAGGGGCACTTAGTGAGGCTCCCTCCTCTGGATCCAGCTCCCTGCTGCGGGGTGGTCTCGTGCAGCAGAAGGGATCTATGCAGTGATTGTGTGGAGCTGGGGGAAGGAAAAGGAGGGGGTCTCACCATAAGGGTGGCGTGGCACAAGACACATTCCTGGCAGGGCGAGGGTTAATAATAGGATGGGCCATCGGCCTGAGGGGAGCTGGGGTCTGGGACCCTGCTCCTTATGGCTCCTTGGTTCAGTGCCTTCTCCCTGCCTTCCAGCTCTTCAGAGGGAGGTCCCGGGTCGCAGCCATGCTGTCTGTCTTCATCACGTCCGCCATCGTCCACGAATATGTCATCACCCTCTGCTTCGGCTTCTTCTACCCCGTCATGTTCACCCTCTTTGCCATCTTCGGAGGTGAGCACCGCCTAGTGCCCGGCTCCTCGGCCCCCAGGGCGAAAAGGGGGCAAATGGAGAGCACCTTAGCCAGCCCCCGGTAGTGGCCGATGAAGCACCGGCCGCATAGATGGGAGAGGATTGGGTGGGTCTCGGCCCAGTTCACACGGCTACAGGGTCACTCAGCAGAGATGGGGGGACCCCAGTGGGGTGGGGACAGGAGGCGCGTGAGATGGGGCAGTCGCTGCCCAGCCTCCCGCTTGGCTCTCCCCTCAGTGATCTTCAACTTCCTGCTGAACGACAAGCGGAAGAGCCCGATCTGGAACATCATCATGTGGACCTGCCTCTTCATCGGCCAGGGCATCCAGGTGTGCCTGTACTGCCAGGAGTGGTACGCCCAGATCCACTGCCCGCTCGAGCAGGTGAGGGCACCCGGGCCGGAGGCTGGTCTCGGTCACAGGGGGCAGATCTTACCTGGCTGCCATACCCCAGACACCCCCGGCCTCATCGCGGGTCACTTATCTCCCTAATGCACTAGGGCAGCCTTCTCGTTTAGGCCCCTGGGTCAGAGCCTGTCGCTCTCGCCCAGTAGCTGTGGCCATCTCCTCGAGGCCGTGGCCATGGGCCTGTGCCTCTAGCGAGGGGTGTTGGCCCTCCCTGCTAGGCTGTGCCCACGCCGCAGGCCTCTCCCTCTGATTCAGTCAGTTGGCTGTGTCCCCCTCCCTCTGGCCTGGCCCCGAGTCCATCACCCCCCAGGGCAGCAAGGGCCCGGTTCTGTCACTAATTGGATTTCCGGGGGGGTTCTCAACAGAAGACGTTCTGGGGGCTGATGACACCACGCTCCTGGTCCTGCCGCAGCTAGGAGCCCCTCTGGGTGCCGCCTTCCCCATCGCACCAGAGGACGCTCAGCTACGCCCAGGCCCACCGGACACCCCAGCTACCAAGAGCTCCTGCTGCCAGGATGCATGGAGGAGCGGCACATGTCCTTCTCTGCCCCTTTGGCTCCTTTCTTGCTCAGCGTGGCCAAAGCGGATCGGGCTGGACTACATTTCCCCCGCGAGGCCGGGTCTTCGGTCGCTTCCCCAGGGAGGCTGTGGGCAAGATGGCATTGCCAGTGGGCCTGGCTCTCTGGAGAGACCTGGGGTGGGGTGAGGAGCAGCTGCCACCCCAGCCATGCACCAGCGAGCCATACTGGACATTCTTGTACTGAGACAGCCCTGTGCACTGTGTGGACGGGCCAGAGCAACAGCAGGGGCCGTCCCGTGCCTCAGCCCCGGGTTCAAGCCCTGCAGCTGGACTGTCTTTTCCATCCACTCCCATGGGGGAAAAGGCCACACAAGAGAATTCTGCACTCACACAAACGTGCCTGCTCCACCTCTGGATAAGACCCGGACTCTGGCATTGTCTCACCCTACAAATCATCTGGTGCCGATCCTGACACCAGGCACAGTTCCTCCATTCACACTCACCTCCCTAGGCAATGGACACGATCCTCTAGGCTAGCAGGTTCATCGACAGGGCAGTGTAGATCGAGGGGTCCGTGAGCAAGCTGCGTTCCCACCCTGACCCCGAAACCCCATCGGCATACGCCATGAAAGGGCAGAGCCCAGCCCTTTGGCTTCACTAACAGGGCAAGTCGCCGTAAACCCAGGTGCATTCCAGCCCCATCTGACTGCCCGTAGGGACCTGTCTGCCTGGGATGGTACCTCCTACTGAGCAGTTTTAGCACTACCTCTGCATCAGCTGGGCTGCGGCCATCGTCTCTCTCCCAGGGCCAGGCTTTGCTAACAGCATCTCCCAGCCCTGCAAATGAAATTGAATGTGGATAAATGTCAAGTAATGCACATTGGAAAAAATAACCCCAACGATACACACAATATGATGGGGGCTAATTTAGCTACAACGAGATCTTGGAGTCCTCGTGGATAGTTCTCTGAAGACGTCCACGCAGTGTGCAGCAGCAGTCAAAAAAGCAAAGAGGATGTTAGGAATCATTCAAAAAGAAATAGATAGTAAGATGGAGAATATCTTATTGCCCTTATATAAATCCATGGTGCGCCCACATCTTGAATTCTGCGTACAGATGTGGTCTCCTCATCTCAAAAAAGATTTACTGGCATTAGAAAAGGTTCAGAGAAGGGCAACTAAAATGATTAGGGGGTTTGGAACGGGTCTCCTATGAGGAGAGATTAAAGCTTGGAAAAGAGGAGACTTAAGGGGGGATAGGATAGAGGTATATAAAATCATGAGTGGTGTGGAGAGAGTGAATAAGGAAAAGTTATTTACTTGTTCCCATAATATAAGAACTAGGGGCCACCAAATGAAATTAATGGGCAGCAGATTTAAAACAAATAAAAGGAAGTTCTTCTTCACACAGCGCACAGTCAACTTGTGGAACTCCTTGCCTGAGGAGGTTGTGAAGGCTAGGACTAGAACAGGATTTAAAAGAGAGCTAGATAAATTCATGGCGGTTAAGTCTATTAATGGCTAGTAGCCAGGATGGGTAAGGAATGACTTCCCTAGCCTCTGTTTGTCAGAGGGTGGAGATGGATGGCAGGAGAGAGATCACTTGATCATTACCTGTTAGGGTCACTCTCTCTGGGACACCTGGCATTGGTCACTGTTGGTAGACAGGATACTGGGCTGGATGGACCTTTGGTCTGACCCAGTACGGCCATTCTTATGTTCTTATGTTCATGCTCTCCAGGGACATTGTCCCAGTAGAACTATGTCCAGTAGGAGTGTGATTTTGTTACCAATAAAACCATTGGTGTGGACTCCTTTATTGGTATAAAGGTGCCTTTTACCAGCATAGCTACCTCCCCTTGCAGTGTGGCCGAGTGGATTGAGGGTTGACCTAGGCCTCAGAAGACCTGGGTTCTGATTCCCAGCTCTACCACTGGGTGACCTTGAGCAAGTCACTTAGCCTTCCTGTGCCTCAGTTTCCCCATCTGTAAAACAGGGATAATGATAGTGCTCTCCTTTGTAAAGCATTTGAAGAACTACTGATGAAAAGTGCTCTATAAATGCTGGATATTATTATAGGCATTCTTATACTGAAATAACTGCATCCACACCAGGTAGGTAGCCTGTGCTGCTTTAACTATACGGGTATAGCCGAAACGGTACAACTTTTGCGTGTCAACAAAGACAAGTTGTTGATGAATGGGGTGGGTAGGGGGAGAGAGAGCATGTGTGTCAATCGTATTAATATTGATAGCAGAACTGATCAAATTGTTTCCATTAAAGCATTTTCAATGAGAAGTGGCTTTTTGAACCATGCAAACAATTTTGGTGGACATTTTACTGTGTGTGGTTCCAAATTTTTCAGTCATTCATCAATTTGAAATATTTTTTTGTTTCCTCTCCTTCCCATTCTCTCTCTCTCCCACTTTCTCTCTCTTTCCCAACCCCCATTTCCTTCATTTTAGAGAGAACAGAGGGGGAAAGAACACTAAACATGTGTTTCATTGCAAAAATCCAATGTTTCCACAACATATTTTGAAACAAAGTGAAAAAAATGTTTCATTTCCTTCTGAATTTCTCGCAGGAAATGCTCAGCGATTGGCAAGCAGCCCTAACAAATGGTGTGGTTTCTATTTGAAAAATAGAGTTTCTGTGGGGTAAATTTCCACCAGTCTAGCAAACCAGATGCCTCATCCCTGTATAAAGAATTCCTCCATAAAGGGAGCGACGTGAAATGAATTAAAAGCAAAATGTTATTGCAGCATCTTTGCAGGGTTGTTGTAGCCATGTTGGTCCCAGAATATATGAGAGACAAGATCAGGGGTTCTCAAACTGGGCGTCAGGACCCCTCAGGGGGTCACGCGGTTATTACATGGGGGGTCGTGAGCTGTCAGCCTCCACCCCAAACCCTGCTTTGCCTCCAGCATTTAAAATGGTGTTAAAGATACAAAAAAGTGTATTTAATGTATAAGGGGGGGGGTCGCACACAGAGGCGAGCTGTGTGAAAGGGGTCACCCGTGCAAAAGTTTGAGAACCACTGGACAAGGTGGGTGAAGCAATATCTTTTACTGGACCAACTTCTGTTGGTGGAAGAGACAAGCTTTCGAGCTCCACAGAGCTCTTCTTCGGGTACGTGTATATCTCCTGCAGCATTTTTGCAAATTGTCTTCGCTAGGTTATCTGGCAGGCAGCAAGTCCCAATGGACAGCCGCCTTTCCCTGCCCAACTCTGGTGGAAGAGTCGGGGCAGTTTGATGGGGGGAGGGGGTGGAATCCAATCGTGCCTCAGTTTCCCCATCGGTAGGACAGAGGCGTGACACG